TTTCCCTTCCACCCTCGGTTGTTTTCCCTCCACCCTCGGCTGTTTTCCCTTCCACCCTCGACTGTTTTCCCTCCACCCTCGACTGTTTTCCCTTCCACCCTCGGCTGTTTTCCCTCCACCCTCAGCTGTTTTCCCTTCCACCCTCGTTTGTTTTCCCTCCACCCTCGACTGTTTCCCTCCACCCTCGACTGTTTTCCCTCCACCCTCGGCTGTTTTTCCTCCACCCTTGGTTGTTTTCCGTCCACCCTCTGCCGTTTCCCCTCCTGAGCTTGTTCTGAGCTCAGATCAGCCAATGGGTGGGGTCGGCAGGAAGTGTTTGTTTGTGTCTGTACTCCAGCTGCTTTCAGCTCTGAGCTCATCCATTTTTTGCAGCTCAAACATTCAGCTAATCCCTTGAGGTTCTGACCCACCTGGTTTTAGACCTCAGGTCCTGAGGAAACACCCAGAAATCCTGAAGGTCTGTCTGAAACTCAGACGACTCACAACGCCAAGATAGAACAATGTCAGCAACGATCTCAGAGATCAGCTGCTGTCTGTCAATCGGTGAAGGGTCAAAGGTCATTTATAGAAAGATACTTCACAAGAGAACATTTCAGACAGCTGATTCACCCCAAAGGTCAGACCGTGCACTGACTCTATGGGCCTCAGTCAGCAGGTCAAAAGTCATGATCTCTCCTCTCTAAAAATAACAGCTTGACTTAGGTTCATCTGAAGGAACCACAAGACTTCTGCACCAGAACAAGACCAGAGGGCAGGTGTTTATCCAGAATGCACTGCAGCAAACAGCTCCTGCCAGCTGTCAGCACGGTGGTGGAGGGCTGATGGTTTGGACTCCTGTCAGTTGCTGAGTGGACCAGAGCTCCTCTGGAGACCAAAGGATTCTGGAGTCCAACAGCTGCTGAAGCTTGGATCAAACTGGATCCAACAGAACCATGATCCCAAACACAGCAGCTGATCTACAATAGAATGGGTCAGAAAGAACAGAACCAACAGTCCAGTCAGAGTCCAGAACCTGACGATAAATAATGTAGGTTTTGTGAGATGAAAGACAGACGGATGGACAGAACGTTTTGGGACATGATCTGATCCAGGAGCTTCCTGCACGGTGGAGCAGTGGTGAGTTGGAACGTGTTGGAATGTGGAAATAAGCAGAAACCCTGAGGGAGCGGGTGGAGCTTCCTGCCCCCCACCTTTACCTCCACGTCAAGTACCCCCCTCCCCCAGGTCCCCTCAGCTCATTAGGAAACCAGAACTCGTTAACTCCCATTCATCTGTAATTGGCTCCCAGCCTGGAGAATCTGACAGCTCTTGATTGGACAAATTCAGTTCTACTTCTCAGACAGTTTGAGTTAATTTGGTTCTAATTAATTACTACACCCCCTCTGACAACACCCCCAGGTGCTGATCAGCCACGCCCCCTGACCTTGGACCTGTGGTCCTGCAGTGACGCTGCCCTCAGTGCAGTCTGATCTGGGTTCTGTTTCAGGGAAGTCTGATCCATTAGCTGGTCCCTGAGGACTCTGGTTCTGGTCTGAGTGCTCTAATGGTTTAATCAATCCCACTTCCTGTCTCCATCAGTGCTGGTCAGCTGACCCGCTCGGCCAATCAGAGCTCATCATGCTCAGATTCAATAAAACGCATCAGAACGCTCTCCAGTGTCCTAATGGAGGTGCCTTTACCCATGATCCTCTGCTGCAGCTGCTGCATCAGGTGCAGCTGTGTGTGGGGAGCAGTGCACTCTGGGAGCTGTAGTTCTATTGTCAATTTATTCTTCAGGATGTTCTCGATTAATGACGGATATTGATCGGACCACAGGAGCCCAGAGGAACAGAACTTCATGAATAAATCAGATCTGAGCTGAACTGGAGGCACGAGCTCGGCTCCTTCAGATTCCTCAGGGCTACACAGAGCTCAGAACTGTTTCTGGGTCCTTGAACTCATCACTGGCCCTTATTTCTGAAACAAGTCAGAGGATTTTTCCTGACTGACCTGAACGTCACACTTGATGAGTTCAAGGACCGTCTGAAAGCAGTGTTTTCCACTCTTGCTATGAGATTTACGGTAGTTTTATTTTTATTTTTCATAATATGAAGCTTTTATTGATCAGATATCATTACCTCTAATTTGTGTGAAAAAGCCTGAACTTAAGTTTCAGACTGAAGTTTCTCTGAAGCTCTGAATTAAAACCTAAGCTCCGTTTGTTGACTTGTAGTCTGTTGATGTGTGAGCTTCCTGTCAGGGTGGAGTCATGAAGCTCCAAACGCTCATTCAGAGACGAGTTAACGCTTTGTTTCCACCTTCGGCTTCTTTCATCAGTTTCATTCAATCAGTTTTGAAAACTCCAAACATTGAAAATTGACATTAATCTTTTAAATGATTTTTAACGTCCAGCTTTGCTGATTTGTGAGGTCGAATAGGCGGAACTTAAAGCCACATGTCCTACATGCACAGACTCCACAAACACAGCATGACCGCTGACAGAACCTGGATCCTTTGGCTTTACTTTGAAGGAGGCCAGGGCTCCTGAATTTTCTGACCTGTTTCCTGTCTTCCCTGAAGGTTGTCGCCTCTCACGTGGACGTGTCCTCGCTGACGGCGAGGCGTGTGACATCTGATCAGCCATGATGACGACAGTGGCGGCGGAGTTCGACCACATGGAGCTGCAGCAGCAGTACAGCAGCAGCGACACGGTCAACAAGCGCTGGGACGACGACTGGGACAACGAGAACAGCTCGGCCCGGCTCTTTGAGAGGTCGCGCATCAAGGCGCTCGCAGGTAGGAGCCATGCTGCAGGTCCAACACGAAGGTACCCAGATACCGTCAAGTTAGCTTGTCCCCTCTACCCATCTTTAGGGCTGGTTTTGTAAACTTTTCAGCCTGATGATCATCAACAATTTTTTTTGAGGTCCTCAGAAATCTCCTTTGTTCATACCATGATGCACTTCCACAAATGTGTTGTTAGCAGGTCCACCATGAAAGTACCCCTCCAGTTAGCAGGTCCCCCTTTTATCACAGAGGTAAACAACAACAATCAGCAGCACCCCCAGCTATCATAGAGGTAAACAAAACAATAATCAGCAGGTCCCCTGCTGTCACAGAGGTAAACAACACCACCACCAACAATAATCAGCAGGTCCACCACAAAGGTACCTAGATACTTTCAAGTTAGCAGGTCCCCCTGCTGTCACAGAGGTAAACGACAACAATAATCAGCAGGTCCCCCTGCTGTCACAGAAGTAAACAACAACAACTATAATCAGCAGGTCCACCACGAAGGTAACCCAGATACCTTCAAGTTAGCAGGTCCTCTTGTTGTCACAGAGGTAAACAACAACAACAATCAGCAGGTCCCCCTGTTGTCACAGAGGTAAACAACAACAACAATCAGCAGGTCCCCCTGTTGTCACAGAGGTAAACAACAACAACAATCAGCAG